CAGTTTATTTTATTTAACACAATATTTTATCTTTGTAAATTATTATGATATGTTTATTTTGTATTCTGGAATTTATAAGGCTCAATCTATTTATTACTGCACCATGTACGTTACCTTCTTTAAATGGTTGACTGTGAAAGTGTTCTGTTGGGTTATCTATAAATCATTTGTGTAGCACATGCATCTGACAAATGAATATATACTTTTTGGGAAATGTATTGTGAGCTAAAGACATAACTGTGGAATGGGCAGTAAATTTCCTTGTTTGCTAATAAAGTGTTATTCCATTAATTCTCCAGAGGGATCAGTTAGAAATAAAAAGAGTATTTCTGAAATCTGTGGTGCAGTCATCTCTGTCAACTACATAAAGGTAGGTCTTTATTTCCTAATATTTGTGTGCTCTTTCTGGACAACTCTGTGTATGTTGAACAAAGTATAAAATGGCTGTTTTATTAGTATAAAGCAATATAATTTAAATTGACCCTTATTGTAATATTTTTTTTGAAATCCTGAACGATATCCTCTGATGTTTTGGTGATCTGTTTGCCATTTAACACTGGTATTTCCAGCTTGCTTTCATTAAACATCCTTTGTCTTGATGAACAGATTTTTTATGTTTTTGTATTTTGTCATCTTTTTGTTGCAAAGGCGTCTTTGAGCAACAGGGAAACGAACAGGGGAGTTTCACTAAGAACATCTGGTGTGCTCATCAATGCTATTCCCATGAGTGAAAGAGATGGTAAGAAAGGGATATATCCAGTACATAAAGAATACTGGTTTTAACTGGACTGGTAATTGCTTATTGTTTGCACTACTTGGTATTTCAGAAAGAAAGGTGACGATTTGAATGATTTACTTGCAGCACAGTGAAGGTTATCAGAAGCAGTACCTGCTCTCCTACCACTAGAGGCCTCCAGTGCGATAACCAAACCTGAACGTTGGTGGAGGAATTAAGCACGAGATGCAGCAAAATCACAATTTCAATAATACGTGCAATATGTCACCTATTTCTTTTCATATTTCATATTTTCATATAAGTGCTCTCAAGTTGTTTGAAATAAGCAAACATTTGAAACAACAGTGCATTCAGTTGAATTAATTACAATAACGGGAGGTTTGCACATTTCATCATTTCATGATTCATGCTTCCAGTGAAGTACAGTAGGGCTCCAGGTTCCAGACCGGACGGTTGGGGGAGTCAGATCTCAGGATCAGTGCTGCAGTTGCCCCTGTGAGCACAGTCCCTCACTCATATTGCTCCAATACCCTGCTATATTAATGAGTCTGCAGGTCACTGTTTAGTATGCAGTATGTTCTCAATTTACGTACCTGGTAAAACAAAGGAACAAAAAAAGTTACTTCAGTTCACAGGATATTCCATTTTTGTTTTCTGCTTGTAAGGAGTGTATTCTCAGCTGAAATATGTTTAGTGTTTACTTGAAAACTCGTGACTCTGTTCATCTCCTTTCTTTTTTTCAGACCTTGACTGTCTCACTGTGAGCTTTTCTGATAGTCCCAAAATCAAGACTGGGGTGGTAAGTTTCATGTTTTTTTTTCTTGTTAAACATTTAGGAGGTTGTTGGTACAGTGCAATGACGATCCAACTCAAATACTATAAAAAAACGAGGTTCTACACCTGCATGTCTGAAATTTCCATGGCCATGATAATACAGAAGGTTGGCTACAATGTGTTTATCTGTTATATTCATAGGATCAGAGGATCAGAACGTGTAGCATTAAAATCAGGTCCCTTGAGCGACGCACCTTCACAGTTTGCCTTGACAAGGACTCCAAGAGAGTTTTTAAGGATGTTTTGAGGTGAGCACCAATTAAAATCTTCTGCCATGTCAAATGATTTGAAACAGTCTAGCAGTGCTTGTGTTGCTACATGAATAGATAAGATAAGATCACTTTATTGGCCATATACAATTTCTTGCATTAGGAATTTGTCTTTTCGCATACCCCAGCTTGCTCTCCATGAGACAGACACACACACAGGGGGTGAAAAGCTTGGGGTCAGAGTGCAGGGTCAGCCATTTATACGGTGCCCTTGGAGCAGTTGGGTTAAGGGCCTTGTTCAGGGGCCCAACAGAGTAGGATTCCTCTGCCGGCTGCGGGATTTGAACCGGCAGCCTTCTAGCCACAGGTGCAGATCCTTAGCCACAGAGCCACCACTCCGCCCCAAATGGAAACAGTAATTAGTTTTATGTTTGATGCAAACACACTCAAAAATTACATTTTGCATCTTTTAATCAAGCCCCTGTATCTGCTGTATTGCACTACCAAGGGTTTCTATAAGGCAGAAAAGTGATCCACAGTGAATTGAAAAAAAATATTTGTTTTGGTTCAGATTCTCAGTGTGAGTGGTGTGATGGCACTTTCCTGTGGATTTTTAGCAAGGACAACCTTCCTTGGGATGCAGTTGAGAAGTTTGGATGTCTTTGAAGTTTAGACTGAAGGAAATTCCAATTTGTGAATTCTTCATTTCAGGTGTTTTTTTTTCTGTTCTTTGTTTTACAGCATCGAAGTATCGAGGTGCCTGGACCCAGGCTACTGCATTCAGAAAGCCAGGAAATCGAAATTTACCTTGGGAGACGAAAAAGATGTAGGACTGATGAAGTACATGACAAAGGGTCTGCCTCTGCCCATCAACACATTTGCTGGGATTATCCAGTGATTATTCTGCCCTGGCCACCGAAAACAAACTGACATGGATGTTTGCAGTAGTTTAAGCAGCAGAAAACATCCACAGCTCTCCTTAAGCGCAGTTCTAAACTACAACTACAAGAGTCTGAGGCTGTGACTATCAGTGTCCACTGTAGCTGGTAATCAGATTGGTTACAGTGAGTAACCTCAGAGTGATCAAGAAAAACTCGTGAAAAGATAAGATGCAGGTGTAATTACCCTGATCTTAATCACCTGAAGTATCAGGTTTCTGGCGCACTATTGGAAAGTAAGGAGAGCAAACAGAATTGTGCACTGAATGGAACAAGTATCAATAGATATAGTACTAATACATTTATACAGAGGAGGTGTGGTACATACTCACCAGTGTGACTGATACAAACAAGTGGTGAGACTCTGTTTATTTATTACATTGTGTACACACTAAGGGCATGAAACAGCTTGTTGGAGAAAGTAAAAAACGAATCTAAATTGTGGCATTACACTATATTTGTCTTTAGAAACTCAAAAGGCACACGGAGAGAAACAGGAAACAATTGAAAATGTACAGCACTTGCTGAACTCCTAAGGATACAAATGGCCTCTCATTTGTAGCCCTTCTCATGTGGTACGATACGTATGGGAACCCTAGTTCAAGCTGGTGACTTGAAGCAGCTCCTGCTTTGAAACCTCAGCTTCTCGGAAGGATCAGGCTTGACCAGGCAAATCAAGCAGGCACCAAGAGAGACTGAGGAGAGACCGTCTGAGACGAGCTCCTTCCTGCTTGCTTTGGAGGGTTTTACGAAACCCGCTCTTCAGGTTCGGTGGAAAGGACTGTGTTTGACACAGAAAGAGATGGAAGAAGATCCCCATCCCATAGTGAATTCGGTGAGGCAGGGAAAAATGGAAATAACCATAGAAAACACAGGCTGTGAGCCTTTTTTAGTAGCTGCTAAGAACATTTAGAAATGAACAATACATCTCTGTGTCCTTTTTATGTTTACTTTTATAAGCTGATGAAAAGTGAAAGAATATTGTAATGAAAGTGGGGCTGTTGGTGTTTGGACGCTTAATATTCATTCAGACGTGACCGTTCCCATATGCATCTGAAAGAAAAGAAAAATGCGCAGAATTATGGTCTGATTTATAATAAATCATAATGGCCCTGATCAGTATTAAATATGCTGAGCGGTGTGCATTTTTGTAAGAAATGATTGCAAAAAAGAAGGCTTCTTGAGCTGTGAATCACACTCTGGTATTCTCAGTTCTTTGCAGTTCTTTGAAGTGGCACGTACAAATTATTTCCTTTCTGTTTCAAAACTAAAATCTTGCATGTTTTAAAAAGGGTTTCATTTACAAGAAATCAAACTGAGTAGCAAGTGGGTGCTTTATATTGTGCTGTCTGTCATGTGCTAGGCAATATTTAATCTAAACATTGTTTGCACATCTTCATTGATTTTGAAAAGCCCTTCATTTTTTTGTTCCAGGGAGGTAATTTCAGATGAATATCTAATTGTTATTAGCAGTATTATGTTAATGCAGATTTCATTGTTTTAGATTTTGGAGAAATAAAACTGATTGCCTAGTTTAGGTCGCAGTAAGGTTTGTAACCAAAGGTGAAATGCATATTTAAAAAGTTGCACCTTAAATTTAAGTGTACAGTACGTTTCAATATAGAGTTGACAATAATGTCACTACAAGTTACTTCGTCATTATATACATTAATTGCTGTTATTTTGCATGTTTTGAGATTTTCCCTTTCTTTGTCAATTTATAGTCTCACTGTTCACTTCTGAGAGTGCTTCGTGATTATTGTAGGATAGTTGGATTTTTCTGCTGGACTCCATCAACCAATTATTTGTTGAACCAGCTCAGCAGGCAGTTCTGAAATCTGGAATGATTTTCAGTGGTGTGGCTATGTATCGTTGCATGCAGTAACACCTACACTGGGGCTGAAGTAATCGAATTACTTCTGAGCTGATCTGATTGTTGAGGTTTGTGGACACAGGCTGTGCACTCCCCTTCTAAGTACCCCTTCAGGGAATAAATAACAATTTGCACATAAAATAAACATCTGTGAGCCTCTGGGTTAGTTTACATTAGCTGCCTCCAAAAAGGGGCAAATTAAACAATCTGGACAAACCCTGATGTTACTTCATTTAATTCGAATTCTCTATGAGCATTACAGCTGCTAGTACGGTAGATGTGGATGTCTTGATGAGTCTGGAGTCCCAGTCACAAATCTGCATGCACCTCGTGAGTTGTCCATCACTGCATTTAACAATTCTTTAGAAGGTTACAGCACAATGTAATAATAATGAATAATTCCTTACACTTATATAGCACTTTTCCGGACAATCCACTCGAAGCGACTCCCCTCCACCACAACGAATGTGTATCTGCCACCTGGATGATGTGACGGCAGCCAGTACTCTCCCCACACACCAGCTCTCGGTGGGGAGGAGAACAGAGTGATGAAGACAGTTCAGAGATGATGATGATTATTAGGAGGCCATGATTGGTCAATGCCAGGGAGAAATTTGTCCAGGACGCTGGGGTTACACCCCTACTCTTTTTGAGAAACACCTTGGGATTTTTAATGATCACAGAAAGTCAGGACCTCGGTTTTACATCTCATCCGAAGGATGAGACCTGTGATATCTGGATGACCACTTGCACATTATTTTGCTATAAAATATAAAAACTTTGTCATCATTATTACGAACGTGTTTTATCTCCTGTATATTAATTGTGTTAATGTATACTTTGTAATTTATTGCCAAATATGTAAACAAAAGTAAATACTGTAATGTGTGTACATGTAGGATTTAAATACTGTATGTTGTATTATATAAAAAGCATTTGGGAGCATTCTGTCTTGGTTATTGTTTGATCTGGTGATGTACCATGAAGCTACAAAACAAAACCGACATCTGAAAATCTTGCACCTGATTCTGTAAAGACTTTTTGGAGTAATGAGCAAACTGACTAAGTGAGGTCTTGTAATATTTTCCTGATCAAAGTGTGCCGTTACAAAATCAGAAATGGAAAAGTGAACTCATGATAAAAGCATAAGGAGGATATAAAGCACGGAGAGTGCAGTAAAACATGCACTCTGACCTCAAGCCTGTCTGTGTGTCTCATGGAGAGCAAGTTGGGCTATGTGAAAAGACCAATTCCTAATACAAGAAATTGTATATGGACAATAAAGTGATCTTATAATGGTACAAATAAACCTTAGTTTTTATTTCTCTTCAAACCCTTACTAATGTTCGCACGCTAGGATTCTCAGCTTATTTGAAAGCAGTAGAAAAGCCAACAAAAATGCAAAGCTTGCCATTAAATTATATATAAAAAAAACATCTACATAACTCTTAAATGTACAAAGTGCAGTAGAATTCTTGAATACTTGGTCGTTTATATCCAGGTCTTTCGTTCCATCTACTGTTCCAAAAGAGAACTGCAGCTAATTTAAAAGCCACTGGCAGTAGCAGGAATTGAACTAAACAGCTTAATAACACACTTTTTTTTTCAGAATCTCCCTACTTAATTATGAGAATAAAGGAATTAAACGCACACAATAATAGAAACTATTAAGCATATAGATTTTTTTAGGCACTTGATAGTATCTGCGACGCTATTTTACCTGCGACCTCTGCTGTATGCCCACCTGTTGGCTCCGCAAGCCTGCAGTAGACATCCCAGACAACAGAGGTCGCTGTGATAAATTGCGCCATGAAGGTTACAGTCGCTCGTCAGTAATCCAGCGCAATCCTTAGTTTGCAGGTGTATCCTGGTGAGTCCATCCTCTTACGTGTGGTTCATATAATCTAGGTAGTGTCGGTGACGAGAAAAGAAATATTTACAATAAGTCCCATTTTGGAATTTCTTATTTTACCGCAATCAATTTGTATGGGTGCATTTATTAAGGTAAATTATATATATATATTTGATCAAAATGTTAAATCATGACGTGTCTACCGAAGAGTCAATAGGAGGAGGTTGGAACAGGTGTAAAAAGCCAAAGTCAACATCTCAACTGTGTCGTTAATTTTTAACTTGCGAAACGTTACGCGCTTGTGTAAATAGTATTTAACAATGACGTTAGCTTGTGCGTTTTAAAAAATCAAGGCAAAATTGTAATGAGCCAAGAAGGGGTAGCCGAAGTGGTTATTGATGTTTTCTGTAGATGCCTGTGAAGTGGGGATTACTTTTTAAATCGTGTGTCTTAAATGACGACAATGCGGAATGTAATGGAACCAGACGTTGTGGTTAGTCTTTAAAAAAACTTTTTCCCCCCCGACTGGAAATGTGAAACTCCCGAAACAGTGTACATACTGTACATGCTTTCTAAACCCCTGAAACAGGCTGTTTGTACGCCAACAAGCGGAAGTAATTGATGGAATTTTTCAAAGTTGATCTAATACAGGTTAAGATTCGTCTCGAATGGTTGTGTCGCAGACGGATGCTGTCCCTGTGCTGTAATCAACTGCGTTAACGAACAGTGATTGGTCCTTATCACTTTATGTAACAGCTGAAGTGTGAGCATATATGGTCATCTGCGCATTTTGTTCAACCTGGAATAAGGGTGTTCATTAGTTTTTGGATGAGGGCTGACCGATAGGGATGACATTTATTTTAACCACGTGTGTCTTGTTCGAGCGTTCATCCCCTTCTAGCGTGATTTTTGTATTTCGAGAGCTTTACTGTTTTTCTTCTTCCCTTTTGATTCTGCAGTGAGTGATGGTCTTCACAGTGATGGTGCTGTGCTGCCCTTGCATACTGATCTCCCAGATAACGCAGCTGAGAACTGTCAGGAGGGTAACTGTAGGAGAGTAAGAAAACATCAATGCACAACATCCCTGTTGTTGCACCTGATTGACTCATCTGGGGCCTGTGTGTTGGCAGAACTGCATCTCTGTGAAGAACTGAGCACAGCAGAGCCTCTTCAGCCATGAAGAAGAGCAGGCAGTGGGATGTCCGGAGAGCTGTGGCCTTAGCCAGCATCTTTCATTTTCTGCATTCTTACGCCACGGCTTGCCTTATCCCCTTCCTAACTCTGTATTTCAGACAGCTTGGCCTGACTGCTTCCATGACCAGCATTATAATGGGGACCAAGTATTTGGTCGGCCTGGTCTGGAGTCCCGTTTCTAGCTTCCTGGCCAAGTACTACAACAAAAGAAGAACAGTCATTCTGACTTCCCTTCTGTGCTCGTTGGGAGCTGGTCTTATTCTTCTCCTGATCCCACCTTCAGATACGAAAGCCGCAGGCGAGTACTGCAATTTTACTCTGTTAAGGGGCGCTGAAAACACGGGGACGGTTAAAGACGACACATTTGCCTTTGGAAATGTTACACCCGCTCAAGACTCCTTCAGAAGTACAGACTACGCTCCCCCAGGCACGCCGTCCCTCGCTTACAAGACTCTGACGCCTTCTACACCTAAGAGCCACGGCATAACCCACACAACTCATGATTCCACGCGTACCGATGAAGCGGCCACTGCGCTGCGCCTCCGTCTTGACACCCCTTCGGCGGCAAACCGGGCGTCCAAGGACGTCGCCCCCACGGCTCAGCTGGGCCTGCAAACCGAGCCGAAGAAAGTGGGCTCCGCCAAACCGATCGCCGAGGAAGGAGAGGACGCGAGGCAGGCCCTCGGAGGAGTGGAGCCGGCCGCCCGCTGGTCCAAGGACGACGAGAGGGAGCAAGACAAGATTTCAGGCCCTGCGGCAGCGGGCCGGTCTCCTTCAAGAAGGAGGGTGAGGTCAGCGGAAAGGACCAGAGAAGAAGGGAAGGAGGAGCAGGGTAGCAAAGGGTTTCTGGGCAGTCTCAATGTTATGGACGCTCAGCACCAGCTGTTCTTCCTCGTGCTTATCGCGGTGGGCCTGTGGGAGGCCCTGGCGGCGCCGCTGGAGTGGACGGTCGACGACGGCCTGTACGAGTACCTGGATTTCGTGGACTCGACCGAGCGGTATGGCAAGCACAGGTTGTGGGCGCTGCTGGGGGCAGCGTTCGGCGTCTGCAGCGCCGGGCTCCTCGTCAGCAGCCTGGACTGCTTCATAGGCGCCCACACGCCCAGGAGCGCGGCCCACTTCTACGCCTACGCCCTCGCCACCGCCTCCGCGCTCCCGGTGGCCGTCTTCTTGCCGATGCACTCCAGCGGCCAGCGGGAGCCTTCGCCCCGGGCTCTCAGGGCCCTGCAGCTGGTGAGCGCGGACAGCCGAGCCGTGCTGTGCGCGGTCGCGGCCTTCGTCCTGGGCGCCGCCGCGTCTACGGTGGACAACTTCCTCTTCTGGCAGATGCAGAACCGGGGCAGCCACGAGCTGCACATGGGGGTCGCCGCGGCCGTCGCGCTGCTCGCCGAGATCGCCCTCAGCTTCTTCCGCGGCAAAGTCCTCAGGGTCCTGGGCCAGACCGGGACTGCGGTGTTGGGGACTGTGTGTCTGGCCTTCCAGTGCCTCTACTACTCCTTCCTTTGGTCCCCCTGGGCCGTTCTGCCTATTCAGGTTCTAAGCGCATTCAGCAAGGGCGCCATCTGGTGGGCCCTGGATGCACAGTGCGACGACATCTCCATGCCAGGGATGGAGCGATCTGTCCAAAGAGTTTTTCGCTCCGTTTCCACGGGCCTTGGAGGTGGCTTGGGCAGCTTTGCTAGCGGATTTGTAGCCCAGAGGTTTAGCTTAGAGGTTCTCTACAGAGCAACAGCTGCCACTCTGCTACTGTGGTCTGTCGGCTTCCTGATAATACAGAGCAGAATTCCTCGCCAGAAGAGGCTGAACTACTCGCGGCTCTTAGCAGCTGATACCAGCGAAGTAAGTGACTCCGACTCGGACCAGGAGAGAGACTGGTTTGTGAAGGCAATGAAGGATGATTCATTGAACAACAATCATTAAAACCAGCCGACCTGGCTGACTTGCCAATGCGCTGATGGGTACCAAAGTGTATTTTCTTTGCAAAAAAAAAAATGTATAAAAATACAGGATAGCTTTTTTTTATTTTTACGTGACATAAAGGAAGTGAGAATCACTTCAGTGAGTAGAATGGAATTTCTGTGCCTTTCAGAATGGGAACTACCCACAGTCCAATTTGCACTTGCAGATGATGTAGGAGTGCAGTTAAAAATAGTTTGCTGATGAGAAAGATCAATTTAATATGTTGGGCAATGAAGTAGTATGTGTTGGATGCATTATTATTCATCTGGGTTGCTTTGGAGCAGTCTTACTGCTTTCTGTGAAATAATGAAAACTATTGACAGAGATACCTAACCACCTGAATTACTGCTCAGTCATTCAGAGGCTTCAGCTGCACAGAAATAAGCCTGTATTTGCATACACTAATATGGAAAACAGTATGGCAAGTGCAGAATCTAATGGAAGTGTGAGTCACAGACCCAGTAAAAGGAAACAGGTGAGACCTCCATTAACAGTATGGGCCAGCTGCCAGTCCCTAAGCACTTGGCATTCACAAAGTAATAGAACAATTCTGGTGGTTTGATAATATATCAAAGAATCTTTACATACTTTGATCTGAACAGTTGAAAAAAAAAAACTGGTTCCCTTTGTTCACGAATGCAGTATATCCAGTATTTGCATAGCCATTTGCCAAACCTTGTGTTCTTCTGAAGAAAACATGCACTTTTAATTGCAAATGACGTGCAGTTCTATTAGCTGTGGAGGAACGAAAGTCCTGTATCTATATGGTCCCATTAGCCCTCTTAAAAGGGTTATTGTTTGCAATGAATAACTATTTTCAGTGCCTCTGCAAAAGCAGTGCATCTTTCCTGATTAAATAAAATATGAATTTGGCAAGGTGCAAAGTGAGCATGCCACTATCGGCTTTTATCTGAAGACCTGCTTTTTTACTGACCACTAATAGTTCAGTTTAAAGTGACAGATAAACTATGAAGCAGTAAAAAGAATGAGAAAAATTCAGGTCTTTGAGTCTATTGCACATTTCGACAACTGAAAGGAGGTCATTTCTGTCCTCTTCACAGCAATGTCATTTGAACCGAATACTGGGGACCATTTGGTTGTGACTACTTATTATGTCGTGAAGTGAAGATCTGCAGAATATTTTTTCCCTCGTGTTTGCAGTGTGTGAAAGTAACACATCTACATAATTAAGCAGCAGTGAGGGTGTCTTGCAGGTGTGAAGCCCAGCTGCTCCTCAGTTGGACTGTTAATATGTAATGGGCGATCAGTTTTCCTTTATTTGCAAAGTCCTTTACAATTCAAATTACACACATGGTTAAGAGGTATTTGATTTGCATTTTGGTGTTTCTGGGTCTCTTAGGAATGAGGAAACAGAGCACACTAATAGTGTTCATACATCACAACTTCTGATGTACACCACCAAAATGAATAAGTGCATTCAAAATAGGAGGATCCATCTGTGTGTAATTGAGCATCGTGTTGCATTTGGTTAAATGTTATTAATTTTTGTGTAATTGGTGGCTCGTTTTGAATGGGTTTGCTTCAGTATTGTGATGGCTCAGTTCACTTGAGCTCTTTGAAGGGTGGTTATCTGTCACTGCTGCGGAGTAAACTGAGACAGGGGGTCCTTCTTAAGTTCACCAAAACTCTGGTAGCCAACAAGCAATGCCACTGTGGTACTGAAGCTCATCTTATTTTCTGGAGTTGGTCAAGCCTGTGGTGAATGCTAAGTTAGGTGAACTAACTCATCCAAAGAATTGTTTAATTACTGTTTTAAAACCCTTATAGATGTTGCACCTTATAGATCTTGCACAACCTGTCATTGTAACCTTTTGTTATGTCAAATAATGATGAAGGCATTTGGAGCTGCTTATGTTCAGACCTTTCAGAATACTGGGCTTCACAAGTCTTTCTTTATAAAGTGGTTTTACACTTTCTTTTTGAGGTGAGAAAAATCTCTCAACTTTTATTTGGGCGGTTCCTTATCTATTGTTTGTACTATCTGTTCCTCAGTACAGTGGAGCAGAATTTGGAAATCATGTAGAACCGATAATTATTTACATAGATTGACATTAATTGTCACAAATAATAAAAGAGGAAAATCAGGTGGGCAATTTGACTTCTTTTTTTATCAGGACTCACACTTTAAGAATCAGTTTAAGCATTAGTCCATTAAAATTATTTTGGGAATTGTTAAGTAATAAAAAAGTTTGTGAATAAATTATTTTGTGCAACTGATTGAAATATGTGCTTAGAATGTTAAATAATTTGTAATTTAAATTAAACAATTTTTATTAACATTTGTTTGGGAAATTCTATACCAGCGTTACTTCTTGGGTGTTTATTGAAAATGAGAAATATTGTTTTACAGAATTTTAGGGAAATTACTGGTTATATTAAAGAAAGGTCTTCTCAGGGTGTATCACTGGAATTTAAATGTGAACAGGCAGAAGAAAAACCTTCTTTCTTTCCATTTCAAGTACGTTGCCTCTGATCGTTGGGTTGCTTCATTAATTAATGATTAATGTCAGCTGATGAAAAAACAATTACCTGCCTCCAATTTCCATGTTGAAAAGGTGAAGGCATTTGCCCTTGATCTTGGAAACAAGTTTTACTGTGGCCGAAGTAGAAATCCCTCATTTCAGGCGCACTGCACAAAACTAAGACATGGCTCTGTAGTAAAATGTAAACTATTTTAGTTTAGTAGAGTTTGGATGTATGCCCACTTATACTGTGAAATTCCTACTTGGGTATTTACTCACATGATAAACTACATCTCCTTAATTAAGAAGTAGAATAGCAGTAGATCTAGTACAATGTGTTAGGCTGTCAAAGAGATGTAAGAAAGTGGAGGCATTGAATTTGATTTAATCTAGGGCCTTAATAGTTCCTTAATAGCGCATTAAAGTGAAATGGAAATGAGTTAATTTTCAGATTGCTGCCTGAAGAGAGATTAATTTAACAACATACATTTTGAGTTTGCTAGTGACAATTGTAATTGCATTAAGGTGAGTAATGATGATTTCTGATAACGAGAGCTCTTTATTGTGATGGTGCTGTAAATGTGTGTCCTAAACCTCCAGCACTTGGTTTATTAGTATTACAGCTCATCCCAGTTGTTCTGTATTATTGAGGTTCGGGCAGGCAGATGTGTGATTTTGAACTTGAGCTCCCAGTTCCAGGAATTAAACCGAGCTATTCTCAACTGCCAGCTCTTTCTTTGCTCTAATGAAGAATTAAATCTCTTGCATAGTTGCATAACGGTGTACTTCGTTTTTGTCCTTTCTTTTTTAAATTGCAATCTCTGCTGCACCTGGACATACTGTATCGTCACTGATGTTACCAGGGGTCACTAGGAGTTTCAGGTTTTTAAACCGCAGACACCCTCGCCCAGGTTTCCCAGCCCCCGTCAGTCAAGCTCCTGCTTGTGTTCAGGTGGCTTTGTTACTCGCGGGTCCCTCCTCTTGATCCACAGCCATCCATGGCTGGAGCCTCTGTGATCGTTTACAGGGTCTTGCCCAGAAGCCTGTCGGCTCAACAGAGGGACTGAGACCTGCAGATCCTCTTTAGTCCAGCTCGACAGGCTCACTCCGCGATCTCTTACCAGTCTTCATACTTCTGAAGGCTCTTCCTTTCATTGGCCTGCTCCATCCAGTCTCCCCGGGGAACCCCAAGCTCTAGTATGAACACCTGCTTAGAATATATACTGATGCAAAAAAGAAACGCAACATTTTCTGGAATGGGAATACGATGGTTATAGCTTATGTGCTTTCACAAGACGTTTGTCAATTTGTTTTAAGCCCTCTGACCAGTAATACAGCTTGTGCATCACAACTTGCCAATCACACAAAAACTCCTTAGGTGCACTTTTACCCAACAAGGTCCAGGTGGAACAATGCCTGATCGGGTCACCTTTAAAAAGACCTTAATTCAAAGCTTAGGTCACTGCAAGAAAAAGGCCACACTTAGTCAGTTTTCTGTGTGTCCCATAATGCCTCGAATGTCACCAGAAGCAGGGGAGAGGGCCATTGGCATGCTGCAGGCAGGCATGTCATGTGCCAGCATTGCCAGACACTATGGAGTAAGCTGCTCCACTGTGTCCCGACTGCAGAGAAGGTTTCAGCAGACTGGCAGGACAGATGACCGTCCAAGATCCGGTCGCCCTCGAGTGACCACACCAGAGCAGGACCGACACGTCAGATTGGTCCATCTGAGAGATCGTTTCAGATCTGCCAGCCGTACTGCAGCTGAAACTGCCAGTAGACACAATGCCCAGTGACAGGACAGCGAGGCTCCATGCTGCTGGAGCAAGGCGACCTGTCAGAGGCCCCCTGCTGACACCACCTAGACGTCACACCCGACTGGCTTGGGCCAGACAGAGGCTGCGATGGACTCGTCAGCAGTGGCATCAGGCATCACTCTTCAGCCTGTTCCACACAGATGGGAGGGCCAGTGTGGAGGAGGAGGTGTTGCATTTCTTTTTTCCATCAGTATATACAGTGTGTTACAATATGAATAACTTTGAATGAACAGTCCTGTGTAAAGAAGCAACTAAAATAATGTGCTGAGGTTTGGAATTCTAATGTTTTGCTTTAAATATTTAAGTGGGAAACAAATGTTAGACATTTTATGTACAGTGTAAATGTATATATACCGAGTCCAGTTTAAGACCACCTATTTATTTTCTTTGTGCTAGGTTTGAGCCTTGATTTACAAATTGTGGAAAAATCTTAAAGATAACAAGAACTTGGGAAGTTTTTCCACTATTGGAAACTACCATAAGAAAATCTAAAAAGGTTGTAGAAATGTAGATAATTCCAGCCATTCCAGGATCCTGAAATGTCCCTAAAACTTCGATTAAATAAGGAATGGAAGCACATCGCTGTAAATGTATGCTACGTTTGTGGGCAACTCAGAGGATGTGCCTTTAGCACTGGTAAGTGGTCCGTGTGCTTGTGAGTGAGACAGGCCATTGCTTTCATATTTCACTGTATTCATGGAACCTAACGTTACCGGATCACTGACTTCTCTCAGGGATAAATGTAATTGCTCAAATTCTCTAAATCGTTGCCCCAAGACTTGGCAGTTCTGAGTCACAGCTCTGTACACAATACATGCACTTCATTTAGTGCACAGTGAAGGCAGTTTGTCAGACAGAAAATTCTCAGTGGTATCTGCACACTGCTAGCTTACCTCTTGATTTTTTCTCCTCTTGTCTCTCGTCTCCTCTGTGAATTCGAGCTCTCTTTGCCAGTCTTGACCACGGTTGTAAATTCTGTCGGCTTGCCAAGCTGGGCTTGTGTGCCAGCCGCTGCCCAGGTGTTGATGTAGCAGGGTGAGATGCTCACTGGGACGGGCACAGAACAGCAGCAGATGCTCCGCTCGGGAGCCATGCTGGTCCAGTGCCAGAGGCCTGTCTTGGGAAGTTATAGACAAGACCTCCAGATGGAGGGCGGCGTTTAACTGTGAGATTAGTTCTTGGATGACAGCGGCACAATGTGATCCTAACTTCTGCAACAGCTTTCAGCCAAGAATTAAAAAGAGATTAATGTGAATGAGTGTAATCTATCATTTCTTTCTCATCTTCATGTTTAGTCCTTAGAGTACAACAGGCAAGTGAGCTGGGTCCCTGCATGCTCTGCATGTGTGCATCCATGTGCTGGGATGTGGACCACGCTCAGGTGAAGGGCTCTTGCTTGCTACGCAGACTGGAGTAGAGGAGCCTGGAGGCCAGGGTGCGAATTGCTTTTACCATGTTCTGGGAGAACTGAGTTTATACGGCTTGCCTATAGACCACTCAGGAGTGGTGATGCCACAGTACTGCATCTGAGGAACTTAAAAAGGTACATGATGGATGAGTAAAGTCTCTGCATTTTAAGTTTTTCCTGAATGTGATTTTAAAGGCTTTATGATTATTGATCACTCACTGCACATTATCTCAGAAGAGATTACCTTTTTTTTTGCCATGTCTTGTAGAGGGAGATTAAGTAGCGAGGAGATAATATTATTTCATATTTCCTTATTTAAAGCCTTCGATGTCTAGTGATAAACTTTGAAATGAATGCTGAAGCGTCCATAATTCTAACATCTATAGTAGGAGTGGCTAATCCTGGTCCTGGAGAGCCAGAATCCAGCAGGTTTTATAGGTCTCCCCTTAAATCATCAAATTAAATGAGATAAGGTATTTTGTTTTGACTGCTTAAACTGGTGATCTGTGTTATTTGAAATGTAGGAAGGCCGGGAGGTCTGTAGTCAGGGCCAGATTCTGGTGTCCGTAGGCCCCGGGCACTTTCACTCCGAAATTCTCGCCGGCTGGAGCCCAGCCTCTGGGCAGGGGTGGAGGCCTGAAAAGGGTGGAGCTGGGGTGAAAGGGCACAGGTCGTGGGGGCAGCCCCAGGCCGGGTGTTGCGGACAGCAGTCGCTGGCGGCTCACAGTCTGTGGGAGCTCTGACAGTGTCTTGTGGTCGGTGGGGGGGGGCGTCATCTTGTAGAAGCGGGGTCTGGCAGCTCATGTGGAGGGGGGGGGGCACACTCAAAGGTCCACATGGCGTAGTCGGAGATCTGCACCCATTCTCTGGCCGGCCGGAGCCTGGCTTCGGCACCCCATGCCCTCGCGGTTCTCTGGGGGGCGTCCCAGGAGGAGCTAAGCTTGCGGTCAGTGGGCAGCCCCGTCCCAGAGCAGCCTCGTTGGTCTTTCTGCAGCCTCCAGCGGGCGCTGGGCACCAGGGAGCAGTCAGATCAAGGCCGCCTTCAGGGTACCGGTCCACCTCTCCCGCGGCCGCTGTGCTTCGGCTGTCTCCCGGCCGCAGTCGCTCCTCTGTGTTCCCGGTTCCGTCTGTGAGCCGAGACAGGCCGCCCCACTGCATCACACCGACGCAACGAACGTGCCTTTTTCGGCGGCGCCATTAGGAAAGACAGTCTGCAAACGGCTTACGGGGCACACCGATCTCTAAGAAAAAAAAACTTTATTACAGCACTCTATGCATTTCTTGCAAACAATACAAATGCAACATAACTCACACTTAAAAAACTAGACATTTCTATGGCTGTTTTCCTTGCAGCGGGGCGTGCTCATCACGGCGGAGGTAAAACTAGAAAGGCAGAGAGAAAGCAGGTATACTCTACTCGGGAGGGAAAAGAGAGAGCGGGGATCAATCCCTGGTTTTAAAGTGGGAAAAAATGGTGAACCTTGTGTAAAAGGGTAGAGGTCGTGGGGATAGTCCCAAGCTGGGTGTTGCGGATAGAGGCAATACTAACATAATCAAATCAGCATTAAGAAGGACAGTCTCTTTCTTCCAGAATATTTTACGATGGTCTGTTCTTGCGCATCCCGGACTGTTACACATCCATTCCACAAGGGGGCGCAAATCTCTTCCCGTGGATTTCATTCATTCTCACCGCTGTAGTGAAACCTCGAGCCGCAAATTCCACACACCCTATGCAACAGCTAAGCAGATGTCAACATCAGCACGTTGTTATCTCCTCGTATTGTTGGTTTTTCTTTTTGGCCATGGACTGCTCGGCGTACTATCATGAAGTATGTAAAGAAAATAAAAACGCCATCTGAGTGACATAGATTTTTTTTTTTATTTTGAGATTATTGTCTTGTTCAGCGGTTTATTGTTAAAAGTGAGCCGGGAGAATGGAAAAAGAGAAGACATCGTCCAAACGGTACGGTTCTTTGGAGTGTACAACGTGGAAAGACGACGCAGCGAAAGCCGGTAAGCGAGGTGCGCAGCCTCTGGGCGGGTGGACCGCAAAAAGTGCCCTTGAAACACAGGATCAGTTTCTCCACGTTTTTGTAGTTAAAAGTCAACAAGACCCCTGCAATATGTACATGCAAAGCAGGTGTGGATGTTATAAATGTTTACTTGCAACCGAATCCATTCTTTAGAGTAGTCAACCTCAGTGCCTTACGTTCAAAAAAGTCCTAATTTCCTCCTACTGACATCTGTCAAAATACTCCAAAGTGTTGAGCATTATTTTTATTATTAGTACAGCGCATAACATTGGGTGTTTTCTGTGGCTCCTAAAATAAAAACAGGCTGCGGTATAACCGATAAGGATAACTGATAACAATAGACACCTTTATGAGTAAATTGCTATCTGGAGACCTAAAAACTAAAATACCCAACAAACTGTACTTCTCTCGGTGAAAAGTTCCCCAAACGTGTTTCATTTATATATGTTGTTACTAAAGCTGTTGCATTATTTAAATAGCATTGTTATTTTTGGAGTAAACCTCGTGTTTATAGATTATGCTGAATGACTACAGTTCAGATGAAAGCTTATAATGTAAGCATATAGCCTATATAGACTGCAAAACACGTTTGTCTATTTTGAGGAAATTATTTTTTCTCAAAAACACTACAGCTTTACCACATTGCACCTTGTACTTATAATCATCCTTTTACTGTGTCTTTGAGGTCAACGGAAGAAGCGATAAAGGTTCATAAAAGACAAATAAATTATTTTTAACAAGCTGGACTCATTAGGCGGCATGGGGGTCCGTGAACCGACAGTCGTCAATTAATTTTCACCTTCAATGACTCCAGGGAGAGAGACGCCGTTAGGAACGTGGACGATTTCGTGCCGTTTTTACATATTTCACGATAGAGGGTCATTCAAAATTGTCTTCTCACCCCATACAATTTCACAATCACAGCGCTGAAGTAAAACTCGTTTTTGTCTCTCGCTCCCTTCTCTTGCGCCGTCTCGAAAAAAAAATGCATTTATTCCAATTTCTTTGGCTGATTTCTTACCTTTAGGGTAAGTTAACGTGGTCTAAAAATCGTTCAGAGAAATATTTTTTTTCGGGTTGTAACATCCTGACACGTATTATGAGGCGGCGGTGGATATGTCTATGCGTTGCATATTAAATGTGGTGATTTAATTGACAATGTTTGGCGTGGATCACGTGGCTTAGTTTGCATTCATATTGCAGTAACAGAATGTACACACCTGGGTCTGGTGGAGCGGTCTGGTGAAGGATACTACTCACGGAAACAGCAGTAGCGTTTCACACCTGGGCTTTGAAGCCCTTAGTCTCAGTTTAGGTGGGACCTCGGAAACTCACTACTCTACACTGCTGATTGTGTCCCGGGATGGACCTGTTCAAATGTCTCCCTTGCCTCCTGCCTGAAGCTCAGGCTTGAAAGGACACATGCAATCTGAGACACAGAGTGGGCTATAAGTGGAATCTGCAGGTTTTGTGTGTATGCCTTACAATAGTAGGGAAAAAAAAACACAAATTAGCAGTTGAATCTTTAAAGATTGATCTTTATCTGATCTTTAAAGTGCTGTCTCAGGAATTCGTGACAATAACGTCCCAGTAGCAGGCAGGTTCAAGGCAATGGAGAAGCTACTGCACTGAGCAGATGCACACAGTCTGTATGTATGTGCTTGGGTTGCTGCAGCCAGATGAACAGCCAGAAGAAAAATAATTATTCTGTCATTTTGCAAAGCAGGTCTTCAAGTAAATGTGAACCTTGAAATTGAACCTACTGGACAGTGTTGCACCATTCAACTAAGAAATCACACATTTATGACCCTGCAAGAATTTTGCAAAGCCCACATAGAAAAGGACATGACGTATGTTGTTTAAGGAAAGAGGTTTTGAATGAAATGTTTAACTACAGTTGTTATTTTGGTGAATGAGAGGTTTTCCTCTGTTTCTCTGGCTTTCAAACACTCAATGCTTGTAATTGACTGCAGCTGTTACATGTACAGTATGGAGCACGTTTTCTGTCATTATTTTAATTGTACAACTGTGCAATTCCCCATGAAAAAAAAATGAGTTTAAAATATCAAAGCTCCCCTGTTAGTAAAGCTTTTGTTTTTCAAGATCTTCATTTATCACCTGGGGCACTTTGTTCATTTCCCCCTTTTCTCAAAGGACTTGGTTTCTTTAATCTTGCCGAAGAGTGAACTTCACTCTTTGCTATAATACTGTAATGTGCGTCTGCCTTTCTCAAACTGGTCTATCAATACTTTTCTGCTTTTGGTTCGCTGGTTCAACACCGTGACCCCGAAAAAGGGTCAAGATTCTTTTTTCTTCTCCTATCCGAATACCTTCGCTAGAAGTTTTAAATGAATTGTAGGCTGAGCAGAAAGTTATAAAAGAAATCTTAGTTTATCTTCTATAAATCAATCCAGACAGATCTGTTCTATGTTTCTGTGGTTTTAAGGACCGTTATGAATGGAGCAAGATATTTCATTGTGTGCTAATGGAAATTGGAGAACAGTTGTAAAAGACTGTTTAATTTATATCAGAGAGGGGGGTGCACTGTTAATACTGCTGTTCTTCCCTTACTGTAAGTGCTTACTGGCGTGACTTATTTCTGCTGATCTAATTTCCTCCCACCCTCAAAGATGTGCTTTATTTGGCTTTTCCAAATTGTCCTGCAATAGTTGAGACCGGTGTCCCATTGTCAGGCTGTCACAGCCCTCAGCTGGGACAGCTGGTTTCCTGCCAATGCACACATAGAAAGCTGTAGGGCCTAGAGTACCATGGGTTTTTGTGCCGTAGTTGTAACTCAAGAAGGTTCATTATTGAGATACAGAAAGGAGCCCTTTTGTCAATGAGTCTTGTCAATTTTGTCAACCTAGTTGGAGATATTTATTATGCGACTAAGAGTTCACATGATTGTTGGATATATAACATTCTGTTTCCTTTTTCCAATGGAAAATATTTCCCAGTGCTTGCGTGGCCTTGTGAATTCTGTTCCATGTGTGGCTTGCAGAATCCAGTGGTATTTGTGTTGGCCCTCAATCTGACTGACTACATGCCAGAAGACTTCAGAGAAATGGAATCCAGGCAGTGACCGCGGCTGTCTGACAAAACAGCAAGATCAGAGACAGCAGAGCTTTATTTGGTTTGCTTTTAATTTATAAATCGTTTAGCCGAAAACTGACAGCATTATTGCAGTGGAGCAATTGCCCATTGAGTGCACATTGGTTTTTAAAATAAAAATAGAAATAATGTGCATGATTATTCTCTCCTTGATTTGTCACCTGTTAATACCATGGAGAATACCGTTGTTTTTTTTATGGAGAAAATGAAGGTTCATTTCTGGAGAAAATAGAATACATTGTCTTGGTTCCGTGCTTAGCTGACAACAGCAGGACTGAAAGCAGGTGTTTAAAGTCATCTGAATCTCCACATGACATCACAGCTCAGAGCTGCATGTGGCTCAGTGGACACTTGCTATTAGTCATTACTCTACAGTTCCTGCTTGGCCACACTTGTCCTGTGGATGCTACTGGAAAACAGGTGTTGCTTGTGAAATTGAACCCTATCAATCTCCTCCAATAGTTTGACAGCTGCTGTTGTGAGGATGTAATCTTTATCCAATTTATACCTTCAGATCATTCTGAGGGTCTTGGGTACTGCATAGAATGCCCCTTTCAGGAAGGAAAAAAGCCAATTCCCGTACATGTCCTTTAAAAGAGAAAAAGATAATAATATAAATAATAATAAACAGTATCATTCAAGCAGAAGTAAATTCTAGTGTGTAAAAGTCATATTTCAGATTCAATTTGAAAGTGCTGACAGAATCACAGTCCAGTGTCTGTGCTTTGGAGAGTCATACTGCAGTCCAGGCACTCAGCAGCAGAAGGCAAAGTCACCAGGTTTTCAGTGTCAAATCTTTAGGAATTCTGGGTACTGGGATCATACAATGCAGGGAGGCGAGTGAGGCAAGAATAGGTCTGTCGCCATCTTTGCAGTAATTCACTAAGCTAAACGGTTCACAGCTATGATTTGCTAATTACTACTGAGTAATTTTTTGGCTGATACTTTTCACGGAAATAGTTCCAAATGCTGGATCCACTTGAGCAAAGTACCTCTCTCAGGGGAACAATAGATGTGTCTCAACTGGGATTCGATGCTTCACAACCTGCCAGTTACAAGTCTAGATGGAGCCCTGACCTCTGCTTTCTTACAATGAAATAAGAAATCTTAAAATAGACTCCAAATTCCAGAGAGAGCCTGCAATCATAGTGCAAAAGTTGTTGCATGTTCATAGGCTTTACACTTTATTAAAACCGAGACAGCCAAGTTCCACACATGCAGCACTACAGCCTATTGAGGAAAATCTTATGCAGTATGTTAGAAATTGCAGTGTGTGGCACAGAGCAGGGCTGGAGGAGTTTGAGCAGTGCAGTTTACAGTGATCATGAAAATGAAAGGGTAAACAAGAATTGCTTGAAAGTTGTATGGGCTCTGCATCCCTCCAAGTTTTTGTTATGGGCCAACATAAGTGGACCAGGTTTTATTTGAATTGGCACAAGCTAACGTTCTCAAATCTCATCGCATTGACCATTTAAAACTCCCCATATAACCAGCAGGATAAGATCTCCAGGACCAGAGGTGTAAAACTGCTCAGTAATGGCTTCACAGGAAGACTTTTAGATCTGATTTGCTGGTTGTCATTACATTCAAAACTGTTTTAATTGGAAACAGCACTGTTTCACTCCGATGGACAATCGAGTAACCAGTTTGTAATTAAAACGCCTCCGGACTCTTTTCGAATGTCTCAGTGACCCAGCAGCCTCAACATGACTCAGCAGCTGCAGCAACATGACAGCACACCTACACCTCACTGTATAATTAAGCACTTCTTCTAACACTCTTCTGTCTCCTTCAAGAATATACTGCCGAGGCCCCGCTGTGGAGATTATTTGTGATGTGCGTGACAAACCAATGTGGTGAATTAGGAAG